ACTGAGTTTATCAAATATTAGTGATATAAAATGCGAGTATTTACGGGTCTGATAGCAAATCGAGTACCAAAACGGATAACGAGACGGGTAGTAAAAAAAATGATACTTTTTACCCGATCCTTATCCGCGAGTATCAAAATTATATTACCTTTTCCTCGACTCGAACGTGACGGATTTTCTGTTTTATGAAACGGATACGAACCGGTTACCAGGCAAAGATCGGGTAACGGATATTGTGCCCAACCCTTTACCCCAAATTAGAAGATTTTTTTCCTTTTCTCTTTTTAACATCGAAGAATTTTCCATATATATATATATTTTTATAGGGGAATTAGGCACAATAGCCAACATATTAACTGGGTAACCATAATAAACATTGGCTACGATATATTGTGTATAAAGTACAATATTACCAAAAACACCCTTAATGAATTGATCGTTCTTATGCTGTCTGTAAGGTAAACAGGTTTTCAATTTTTTTTATTTGTTCTGAAAAAGTGCAGGCTTGAAGACGAAGACAAATTAAAGCAGTCGGTTGATCGGAGTTGCGAGGAAGTCCGTGAGACCGATCGAGAGATAAAGCACCTTCGGCGGAGAGTGAACGGCGGAGGAAGATAGTGTTGTTTTCTAACCGAGTTATAATTGGTTGCTGCGGTTGAACCGAAGAAGCCTGAATTTTGGGGGTTCAAGGAAAACGACGGTGGTGTACGAAATAAAAGGTAGACGGCTATGAACCGGATGCGAATTCTTCTTATAAGAGAAGAGAAGGGAAGAAAGGAGTCGGATTTTAAGTTTTTTGATCTGGATCTCGACTTCCGTGGAAAACTGGAACCTAGCATTTTTGTTTGTTGACAGATCTACCACTCAAGGGTGGTGGAACAAAGACAAGGTAAAGTATTTTAAGTAAAATTTCTATAAGTGAGACATGTTTTGCTTCGGGTGGGTAGGGTATGAAAGGGACGAAAAAATTTGGCCATGATTTTTGTGGTTAGGAAAAAGGGAGAATCATAACTTTGAAAGTGGAACAGTTTGACATCAACTATACTATTTGTTGTGCAACTCGTCATCATAGTTAATACGAGTTATGATTATTTGACAAGATTTGCATTCTTCTTGTATAGAAACATGTGTATGCGATCGATTCTATATGAACAATTGTTATGCCTATACTATTCGTTTATCACAGTAAATGGCAAGCGTAGTTTATATACCAATTGGCAGGCTATTCTATTCACACATTGTCTATTTGGCAGCAGCAACATGAGTTTGAACTACATGTAGGATAATATTTGTGTACGTAAGGTTTTAAAATATTGTGATAGACTAGTATCTAAATTGTGGTTTGTGTATTCTTTTCACATGTTGATTGTGGAATTTCTATACTATCTATATGTCGTCTATAATAACATAGGTCCAAACAGTATAGAACAATATGATGTCTCCACACCCCCCCCCCCCCGCGTTTACCCCCTCACAAGTTCCTGACTACTTCCGTCAACTCGATAGATGGTGTTGCATCTGGTTGGGACATATGTTCTATTTGTTGTTGTGCAAGTCTATTTTTAATTGACCTAGTTTCTATTTTTACATCTTGTTTCTAAACTTTCCTTCTTGTTTCCAGCATTGGTTGCTTTGTTAACCTAAACTAATGTAAGGTACGGGTCACAGGATAACAACACAATAATGTATTTTTTGCAAGGTATGTATGCAGGTACACGCAACAACAATTTGCAAATGGAATAGTCAACACTCCCTCTATCTAGTATAACAGCAAAAATCTCTCTGCTTTATGCATAAACATATAACTAAACACGACACTAAATAGCATAGTGGGTTGTTATTGARCACACTAAACAGAAAATAACGTATTTGGCTTTATTTATTGATCACATAAATAGTTGAGAGAATAAAATTTAATTTAAATTATTAATTGTGTTATAGTTATGTAAGTGAATACACATTTGTAGGCGGAAAACTTATGGCTTATTTACTTGCATTCCTAAAGTAAACGAAACCGACACATCACCGGTTACTTGTAATGCTGAATCGTCAACATCGGGGTAAAACGGGCAAAATTTTAGTCAATTGGTTAGTGA